TGTGTGTGCGCGCGTGTGCGTGTGTTTTGCTGTGCAGGCACGGTGACATCACCTCCACCCCGTTTAATCCCCCGGCGACATCACTGCGTCTCTCGTCCGCGGCTCCAGCTCCGTTTCAGTTTTCATCTGTGTCATAAATTCCTTCAGGTGGAAGGGGAGGGGGGGAAGCAAACCCAAACCGCACGCATCTGCCGCGGAGCCCGGCGCTCCGACGCGGGGAGAGGGGAGGAGGAGGCAGGAGGAACGCGGGAGCCGCGGCCGGAGCCCCCCTCCTGCGGAGCTGAACTTTGCGCTGCATTTTCCCAAGGGACACGGAGCAGAAACTTTTTGCGGGCTCGGGGGAGCCCCTGCGGCTGTTCCCGGCGCCTGCAGGGGGTTGCAGAGTGACCTCCGTGAGCTCGGCACGGACGGGGGAGCGCCTGAGGCGGGCGGGGAAGTCGCTCTGTGCCCGGTTTGCTCGGGACGAGGGGAGCGGCGGGGGCCGAGCCCAGGCGGGAGCGGGCGGCGGGGCCGGGGCAGCGCGGGGCCGGTGCGGGGCTGCTCTGCGGGCAGTCAGTTCCCCGCTGCGCTCCCCCCACCTCTGTCCCCCCCCAGTCGCATCTGCAAATGGGTGGGAGAAGGGATTTCAGGCTTTCTCCAAGATATTTTGTGTTTTTCTTTCCGTGGTGCTCCATGGCCACGCACCGTTGGCACAGCGCAGCGGCATGCCCACACGGGACCAAGGGGCTCTCTCCCACTCCAGTTCCCATGAACGGAGAAGACCTATGGGCCCTTCCTCCACTGGGGGCAAATGCTGCACCCCAGTCTTTGAGGGACTCGTTGAGAAAACAAGATTAACTCAACGCCAGGTTATCGCAGTGGCCTGGGAAAGCCCCAGCATGGCTCAGAGTGAGCAGCTCCTGAGCCTGCCCTGGCCAGGTACCGTGGTGCCACCAGGGCTTCCCCTCGTGAATCGGCAGGGCTCGGGCCTGGGTGCCACAGAGGATCTGTGGGGCAGAGGCTTCCCCCGTCCCTTTGATCCAGAGCAGGCAGTAAACAACGGTTGAGAAACCCGAGAGGGCAGTGGGAAATGAAGGTATGCATGTGCTTGGTGATATTGTCTGTGGGGAGCCACTGGCAAGGAAAAAACAGATTCCTCCCTCGGCAGCAACATTACAGCAGCTTCACCCAGGAGGTCCCCATCCTGTTCGTGTATCCCCTCGCTCCCAAAGCCCCCACAGAGTGCCCAGAAGTACCCCAAGGCTTGGGCCTTGCAGGTGCCCCTCTGGCATCGCCCCTGGTGGGCACAGCCACGGCAAGCAAACCCTCCCGGCCACCCCGGGTGCAAGGAGGGGGTGATGGGGGGGCGAGTGTCCCCATCGCCTGTCGCCCCACCGCCTCCCGCTCTCCCATCCCGCTTGCATACCCCCCCCCCCCCCCCCCCCCCCC